TTAAATGTTTAACACCTTTTTTAAACTGCAGAGTTCAAATTGCCCATGGATTATAAAAAATATTGTATCTATTTTGCACAACATTGCCCGAAGGAAAGGGATGAAAAAATACTTTACCTCTACTAACATAAGTAAAGTGTGTACTTTTATATTTTTAAACATCTTATCCTTTATTCATCATAATGTGACTAAGTTTCACCAATACTTAATTGGGAATTATTTTGCTTTTGGAAATATAATAAACCTAAAATTTTAAGCCTAAACTTATGATTTGTGTTGTTTCATATATATTAAAATGTTGGTGTATTTTCAAGGCAATATCCAGTGTAAAATTAGGCGATATGGAAACAACATTTACCTCACAATTGTTGCTTTTATTAATTGAAGAAACATCTACTATAGAAACGGAAAAATATAGTAAGTAGCTCACGTTTCAATATTCGATTGTAGTTAATTTCAACTGTTTTTTTTAAACAAAAAGGAATTATTTAATTTTTTTTTGCTTTGACAATATTTTTTTTAAAGTCATAGGACATTGGTACTTGCAATTAGAGGACGTATTTACATTTTTAATTATGGTTTTCTATAAATTACAGTGAACTTCAAACTTATTTTAAAACAAAGCATAATTCAAGATGTTGAAGGAAAGTTAACTGACTTGTTAGGATTTCATCGATCTGAACTTCTTCAAGGACTAGCTAGATATACAGAAAGAGATAACGAATTGAAAGAGGTTCTATAGATCATTTGTAATTTAATTGCAGCATATTAACTAAAAATAAAAATGATTCGCTTTTTTAAAAAAATACTATTTTCATGATTAAAGTATTTTATACATTTTTTTTCAATTATGCTTTATTTAATAAAACGTTTATTTGATATACAATTTTATAGTTAGAAAATTATAATAAAAATAAAATTTAAATTTAAAATTTACTGTAAATAGTTTGCAATCAACAGATGCTTCCACTTCTTCCAAAGCTAAAAGAAATTCTCGCCCACGATGATCCTGAGGAAAATATTTTTACAACTAAATGTTTAAAAGAACTGAGTAGAAACAATGAAGCCAGTTACCAGATTATCAATGACGAATCATTATGCGAAAATTTAACCAAGTTAGTTATAAGTAGCAACCGGGAAATATCAGAGAATGTACACTCTATAATGTGGACATCTGGACGAACAGTTGGATATTTACCACTCAAATCAGGTGCGCAATATGTACTGAGTTTTACAAGCTTGTATTTAACTTGCTTTCTCTGTCGGTCGTCACAGATCGAAATGACCGAGCGAATTTTCGGGCACTTTTAACCTACCAATTTCTCTTAAATTCGGCAAGTGAATCAAAACTTGAAGACAATGCAATTTGACATTGAATGTGACTTAATTAAATTTCTAATTGATTTTTTAACTAATTAATTAAAATTTTCATAGACATCATTATAATATTATCCTTAAATTATTTTTCAGACCTCATTCTTTCTGACGAATTCCCAAAACTGTACGAAATCAAACAAACAGCATTAGCTCAGGGCAGTTTTGGGAGTATCCATCTCGTCATTGATACCGAAAATCCAGAAAATGAAAAATTTGTTGCAAAGAAAACCCTTGGATTGTCAAGGAACCTTAGTAAACGTTTGGTAAACTCCAAAGCATTTTTTTATTTACAAAAAATAAATAGTCGTAGTAATAGAATGAGTAATGAATGAATCATACCTGGAAATTTTAGGTTTTTAATTAGTCATAGGACTTAGATTTCTCAAAATTTAAATTTCATAAGAATGTCTAAGAATTAATAACATTTCAATCCATATCTAATTATATATTCTAATATGAGATGTCATTGATGTCTTTAATTTTATTAATTCTGAAACTTAAAGTGTATACTAGATGCATTATTTTTATTTCTTAATTAAATAAATACTAAAAGGATTATTTACTTTATGTTTTGTTCAAAATAATATACAATTTATTGTTTCCTAAAATAAGATATTTATTTATAACTACGTGCTGTCAGCAGAAAATTATAAAATTCTTTTAAAACGTTTCATGTCCAACATATATGTTTATGTATTTAATAATTTAACAATTATATCTCATGCAAATATTATTTGCTTTGCAGGAAAACTTTCAAAGTGAGGCCTCAATTTTAATAAAACTAAAACACAAAAGAATTGTTCAGTTTCATGGATATCAAAGAACAGCTATGGAGATATTTATATTTCTTGAGTATATTAAAATGGTAAATTTCAATGGTAATGTTATCAGTCAAATGAAACTTTAGTTTATTTAATTGATTGATTGCAAAAAGTGAAACAGTTAATAAATTGTATTATTCCTGAAGGGTGTTCACCAATATTTAATATACTTGAATGGTATTGTGTGGTCAAATTAATAATCTCAGAGAAGACATGAGCAAGAAAAATGTGAAACGTATACATAATTTAGTTTCGATTTCATGCCCTATACATGTTAAACGCACTATAGGCTGCGTGGGAAAGGATTTACTAAATATCATTATGAGAACATAAAAGCTAAGTTATCACTAATTATACGATGTGCTTTTAATGTGCTCATTTAACAAATTTGATTTGATTAAAAAAATTAATTTTAAATCCTCGTAAGATTTATCTTTTATTTTTTCATTGAAACAAAATGGAAAAAAAAATAATTAGCATTAATATCAGATGCACTTATATTTAATTTTTCGCGTTCGTATAGGGCACACTATCTACCTTTATCAGACAACACACTAAGCTCAGCGAGGAAGTAACAAGACAGTTCACAACTCAAATTCTTGAAGGTGTCAAATACTTGCACGACAACAACATCTTACATTTGGACATCAAAGGTAGACTCAAAGAAAAAATTATTTAGCCTTCGAGACATAGGAAATTTAAAATACATTTCCATATTTATGTTAGTAAATATCAGTTAAAACTCAAAAATATATTTTAAACTATTACAGTTTTTACAAAAAAAAATAAAAATGTACATATCTATTAATTAAAAGTAAAATCAATTTTTTTTAAATTTCTAAAGGCAGCAACATTTTGATGGTGGATGAGTCCAACGTGAAACTGACTGACTTTGGCCTCTCAACCATCTTCATTGAGGAGGAAGGTGTTGAGGCAGAAAGGGGCACAACTCGATACATGGCCCCAGAGATGATTGACTGCCCCGATGGTAAAATTTTTAAGAACGCCACAAGTTTGGATATATGGTATATATGCATACAATTTTATATTTCCTTCTTGCTATTTGAACTGGTAATATTGACGTATGTCAACCATGCTTTAATTTACCGAGTTCAAGATACAAATCGTTTGGTATGAAAGGGAGCTTTACTTTTATGCGTTTATCACTTTAAAAAAAGATGATTTAAATAGTAAGTTTATTTTGTATATAATTAAATGTATTAACATATCAATTTTTTAGAGAATTACAATAGTTACTAAAGTAGCACATTTAATTTACATAACCAAGCTGACTGTAGCACATTACCAGGAACTATGAACTTATGATTGTAAGGAACCACATTCATAATGTCTGCTAATAACGTTTTATCACCAGGAGTGTTGGTTGTACTGTTGTGGAAATGTTGGAACCACATTCATAATGTCTTCTAATAACTTTTTATCACCAGGAGTGTTGGTTGTACTGTTGTGGAAATGTTGGAACCACATTCATAATGTCTTCTAATAACTTTTTATCACCAGGAGTGTTGGTGGTACTGTTGTGGAAATGTTGGAACCACATTCATAATGTCTTCTAATAACTTTTTATCACCAGGAGTGTTGGTTGTACTGTTGTGGAAATGTTGGAACCACATTCATAATGACCGCTAATAACTTTCTTTCACCAGGAGTGTTGGTTGTACTGTTGTGGAAATGTTGGAACCACATTCATAATGACCGCTAATAACTTTTTATCACCAGGAGTGTTGGTTGTACTGTTGTGGAAATGTTGGAACCACATTCATAATGACCGCTAATAACTTTCTTTCACCAGGAGTGTTGGTTGTACTGTTGTGGAAATGTTGGAACCACATTCATAATGACCGCTAATAACTTTTTATCACCAGGAGTGTTGGTTGTACTGTTGTGGAGATGTTGACCGGATCCCCACCAAACGCGACAACAACATCAGCCAAAGTTTTATTTAAAATGGCAACGCTGCAAAAACCTAAATACGAGTTACCAGCAACGACTTCGATGCTCCTGATAGAGTTTTTAGAAAAGACGTTTACAGTTGAACCAGCTAATAGGCCATCAGCCGAAAGTTTATTGACGGATATTTGTCAATGGAGTTTAACGGATAGATAATTGTAAATATTAGACAACCGAACATAAACATTTTCAAACATACATTTCGCACATAGCAAACACACATATTAATGTATCAAAGCAGCATATAGGCCTATATTTGCTAATAGCTTATTAGAAACATTTACTTTCTTCACGTGATTCAGTTTATATAAATAAAATTGAAAATAAATTTTTACTCATCACGTTTTAAAACTAAAATTTTACTTCTTTTTTGCTTTCTAAAAGTTTTGTTTGCATACTTTAAATACATAACTACATTTAAATGCTACATTAACGCAACTAATAGAGAAATGTGTGGCGATAATTAAAATATTTATAGAAGTCAGATGTTTCAACCAAAGTTGCTTTGTAACGGAAGAAACGTTTTACTGACTACTAACTATTTGATTTCATTTTAAACGACCGTGTATTAATTTTGTGTAATTGGATCGAGGAGGTGGGACAAGGCTTGCCAAACCTTAGTGAAACAATCAAAGCTAAGACAAGCTAACCTAAATACCGACAAAAAAATAGAATAGAGGTACTTCAATAAATAGACAGCTTTATCCCTATTAAGGAACTAGAAAAACAACGAACTAGGGGGATAAATGCACTAAGAACCCAAAATGAAATAGTTCAACTACAATAAAACAACACAATCAGGACACAGCCAATAACATATATGTTTAAATTCTAATTGGCTAAAAGAGAGTCAAAATAAAACTTACAATTTAAAATGAACATGTCGCTGAAGGAGATAGCATTTTTGTGACACGTCCATGACCATCAGAAGATAAAAATGTAGTAAGTAATGAAACTTCTAGCTTGAAGCGAACTAATGTACTCTATGGCTTCTAGAGAACATGATGTCTAAAATGTTCAGGATGACAAAACAACTGATCGTAACAAATTAAAATATTTACAAACAGAAAAATGTGTCACACTTACGTTCGTTTCGAGAATTCACATGTCATGTCACAGTAACTTTAGCAGCCAAGGTCAGAAACTTTCGGTAAAAATACATTCTACACTTAGGTAGACTCAAAACCGTCGTGAGTAAAAAGGCTCTCTACTCTCATTTTCACGACTAGTATAAACATTTGACCAAAGGAAAAATCACAGCAACAGAGTAAGGGGGGGGGGGGGGAATTCACATCAGCATAGCACACATCTCAACCACCCTAAAATTGACTGTGAACCGTAAACATTAAAAAACTGTAACTTAAAACTCTTACTTCTGAAAACATAACGCAAATGTGATACCAGCTAACATTTGTATCCTCTAAAAATATGAGGAATTAACCACCACTGAAGCTAAAAAAATGAAGCATTTACAAGTTTTTTCCAAGTAAGATACTCAACGCGTTCAGCTGTAAATTATCGTAGGAATGTAGCACTTAACATTTAGAATGAAACAAAGTCAATAATAAAAACAAGCACATAATACAAATGAATGCAAAATAACGTAACTTTATCCACGCAAAACACAGCATTCAGATGAGTCTTGTCTGAAAATACATTTCCTTCAAAAAAGAGATCCGAATTTAGATAAACATTAGCTTCTTTAATGAAATTCGAAAACTCAATTTAGGATAATTTACATTATTTTTTTGTTTCTTTAAAAACCTCATTTTAACATTTTTATTCAGACAGAAACGTGCAAATGTCAACCATCAATTGGCAAATCGAGAACCACTTGTTCCACCTTCAAATTCAATACCATTCGGTATGTTGTGGTAGGATAGTTATAGAGTCAAACCTATATCTTTACAATAGGCATCGCACGATCATTTGTTATCACCTTTCCTCATAAACACTGATATGTGCAGAGGCGTAGCGACCCTTCCCGGCGCCCGGGGACAAACTTTCGATTTGCACCCCCACTCGAACTTTTCATTTGCACCCCCCCTCAAACTTTCAATTTGGCGCCCCCCCCCCCCCCCCTAAGGTCGGCGCCCGGGGACATGTGTCCCCCCCCCCTCGCTACGGCTCTGGATGTGTGTAATCCCAGCTTTGTGAATTATTACGACGTATGTGTCATACATACGTCGTTTGGCATATTCAACTTTCAGGGAACAGCATCCTGCATAAATGTCTACCCCATTTAAATGGTGTTTTGCTTGCTTTGCAGATTCAACATTGTCGAACTCCACCATAGCCTGAACTTCTTTTTTCTTGAGTATAATAATTTTTTGAATTTGACCATAATAGGAACTAATTGCGTGCATAACATCGACAGTGATAGGATACTTTGGGTTGAGAATCGTGAAGAGCAATATACGACTGGGACGGCGATCATTTTCTTCTTGGGCTGGTCTCTCGTGCTCTTTTCTTGAGAAATTAAAGAATGCTGGCTTTCCCGCAACATTAATCGAGTTTCTCTGCCTGCAATATTCCACACAATGTTTTGCTTGATTAAAATCCTCAAACTCAACTATAGCTTGGTTTTTTTTACTTGGTATCCTAAAAATTGTGTTGACTTTTCCAAAACGCCGTACTGCTTTAGTTAAGTCTGCTTCAGAAGCATATTTCGGTAAACCGGTCACATGTACGCATTTTGAAACAGGAGGTTCAAATCGGTCTTCAAAATCCTTACATTCATCGTCTGTAGTTAAAGACAATGCAGACTGTGAGCGCTCGTCCGGGTCATTCTGGCAGACGACAGATAAAAGAAAAAGTCTTAAAGTCATGATTAGTTTGTATTCCTTATAATCCTTGTAACTAGAGCTTTATGGGCTTAATAAGCGTGTTACGAATTAAGGAATGTAAAGGAAAATAAAGGAATACGTGAATGTATTCACTATTTTATACTTTCTAAAATTGTATTTAATTTATTAAGTGAAATGGTAGTTCCACGAATGCTCTCAAATTAGCGGCGTAGCGAAACGGGTGTCTAAGGACGCGGATGCACCCTGCGGCCATTTTCACCTCAGTTGTGCTTTTATTGGGAAGTTCATTCGATCAAAAGTGCAAGACAAAATGTCCAAATGTAAATATTAACGCAGACATGTATGTATTTTAAGACAAATTAAAGAGTATTACATATTACTACTTAAATTTTATTTAATACCTAATTCTTTTTTAATCTAACCATGGAAGAAAAACTTGAAATAACCATTATCAACATACCTAAGTAAACAAATGACTACTTTAATTTTTTAAATCGGAAACCATTTCAGTAAAATAAATTAAGCTGTTTCAAATGTATGTACACCAGTTCATGATTTACTTTAGCCTACCCATGCAAGAACTCGACAATAGCTTTTGAGGCCAAATTATTTTACTGTAATAATACAAATTAAATCATTACCACAAAAGTATGATATAACTCATTCCGTGAAAATATTACTATAAGGGTCTAGACCATACCTGTTTATAATACTTTCTATTATATGTGCTAGTGTGTCTTTTCATGCGCATATTATACTCTTCCGATTTTGATCTTTTAAAATGTTTATTTAGCTTTTTCATGATAAGATCAGCTCATTTTTAATCAAGATTGCTTAATTTTTTTTTAATCTAAAATATAAAGAAAGTAATGAAAAAACTCAATTTAATTAAAACTTAAAATTTTACCTCTTTTAGTTGTTGATCTTGCGTTGAAATATTTTGATTAAAAATTTGAATCAAATTATCAACTGATGTTAATCTTTGTTGTAGAAGTTTGCATACCACACCAATCTATAAAAAAATAGTAAAAGTCATGTAAGATAGTAGCAATAACAAAACATCAGCAGTTGAAATATTTTTAAGCAAACGTAAAGCTGACCTTTGAATTTAACTGTGCAATTTGATTTGCTGTATCAGCCCTATATGACGTCTCGAGATCTTTAACACCAAATACAAATTCTGAATGACGTTTCATTTCTTCGGTTGTATGTCGAGTTTTTTCTGCTTGAGCTTGAATATCTTCTGTTATTTTGATTAATTTCTTTTCATATTGTTCAATATCTAAAGACAGATTTTCAAGTGTTTGGTTGGAACACGTTTCTTTTTCTTTTAACATTTTTATTTCTTTAATGAGATCATTGCTTTTGTTTTCTTGTTCATTTATCTCTTTTCTAAAATTTTTAAAATTTTGTTTTTGTTTCTTTGTTAACTTTTTAATTTTTATCCCCATATCAGTCTGTTCTTTTACCATCATTTCTTTTAATTGTTTTATTTCCGAAATGTTCACTGATAGCATTTGTTTGCTGTCGTGAAGTAATGAAATCGATGCTTCAACGTTTTCTATTCGTGATGCTAAATCTTGTTCACATTCAGCTGTAAAACAATTTAAATTATATCATTAAGTATGTAAGTATTTCTCATTGTAGTGTAATTCAGGTTTTTTTTGACAAAATAATTGTTTTAAAATGTCATTACATGGTTAACCTTTGTTACATTCGTTCTTATGGTTAATTACTAAAATGTGTAACGACTTACTAGATTGTAATGCCTTAACTTTATGATCTTTCAATGTAGATTTCAAACAGAAACCTTCTGCTGATGTCGATTCGGTAGTGGAGTGGTCTCAAGAATAAATATATATATATTTATTTTAGTTAGCAGCGACAATGGAGAATACTTACTATTAAACAAGTTACTCAAACATTATATAATATACACTATTTCTAAGTTGTTTATTCTATACTGCATATGATTTGTGAAACAATTTTTAATATTGTATTTTATAGGTATATTTAACGTAATAAGTGTCCACTCAAGTATGCAATTAACCTGCAAGCATGTGTATATGTTCAAGCAATGTGGCATTGGCTGAAGTTATCATAGCCACAGTTTCTTTAAATGTCATGTTTGATTCTTCAGGGCTGTTCATCCATTCTATGGTTTTTAACTTCACCTTCATAAAATATAAATAATAGTTTCTAGGCTACCCGTTATCCATGGATAACTGTGGGTTTCGGGGGTCATCCATAAATGACGTTACGTTTGTTTGACGATTTTGTCTTTCCCCTTCCCTTTCTACTATCACACATCGTCACAAAATCCAGACCCCCCACATTACAAAAGACGTCACACCTCAGACAATACGGTTTTGTCTTATAAAAACACCAATTTTGGCTGGGCATAGATCTGACCGCACTACCTCTTTATATGCTGAGGTCACAAAAACAGGTCAACTTTACTTCACCTGCCCAGTGGTGCTTCCATGGTAGCCGCCATGTTTGTTGTAAAAAAACTAAATGAATCATGGGGCATCACTATAAAAAAGTAATTGTTCTGAATTTTTATAATTAAAGTGGTGTTTCTACAAAAGAATATATCAATAAATTAATTAACGTCTTCAAAAGAATTTCTGATTAACAGTTTGGTAAAAAAAAAGAACATTATTCTCTACATAAATACGTATTTCACAGTTCTTCACTTAGTGCAGATGCTCTCATGTAACCAAACAGACAGACAAATAAAAATAAATATACTAACTTTGTAAACAAAGATGAATTTTAGTATTATATACATTTATAGATAGAAAGATTATTACATTAATTTTTTTATTGAAATCCATGAATACTGTAACAATGTTACTTATTATATTAAAACTATCGTAAAAGTTTTGTGGTTTGCTTCTAGCCTCTGCATTGGTAAGTATTGATTGTCTGTTGAATACATTAAAACATTTTTACATACCTGATTTGAAAACACATCTAAGTTATTGCGTAAATAAGCATGCATCTCATCCAGATTGTCCACTAGTTGGTTCAAATGTTTCTTTACACGATTGTATTCTGTCATCTGAATAAATTGTGCAGGTCAACATGTAAAGACAGAATCAGAAGCTTGGTCTTGTTTTAGGGTTTTAGAATTAATGTTAGGTTTGGATTTTTATGTTAGTTATTAAATTGATACATATATGATTTAGTTATCTAAAATAACCTCACTGATTTATTAGATTATAATATTTTATATTAATTAGCATATAATTCTATTTAATGAGCTTAATTATTTTACTGTGACGAATCACACATAGATAGTGGGAGAAGGATCATATATTAGAATAACAAAAATATTGCTGAATATGTAAATTTTACAAGACAAGAATCAAACACCGTAACAACCTAAATTATTATTATAGCACTCTCCAACTTGAAAATCTGTCAAAACCTTTTGTCTCATTTCCATTTCAGGCAAAAGTATTTAAAAGGTGTCAGAAGTTAAACTGCCGTTTTTAGCTTTTGATGAAAAAAGATTTGTACCACTTATTCTTGTTAAAGTTTCTTTGTTAATATTCCAAGTTTTTACAGAATGTAAATACAGCATAAAATCATGGCGAGTTAGTTTAATGTCAGACAGGTGTGGGCGGGGGGGGGGGGGGGGATATTTTTCGGAAAAACAAATGTTAAAAAAATGTTTATTTGTTTAAGCAAAGCCATTTTAGCTCTAGCCTAAAAAGTGAAGCAATAATTTCGTATATCTAAGAAAAAGTGTCCTTTGTTATTTCATAATTTTTCATTTACTGAGAATCTCAAACTTTTGCCATGTGAGAAATGGCTGAAAATCATTGTATAACTTTTTATTCATTTCTTTCCTTGTCATATATTATTTTTCCGTATTGAATAATTTAAATAAACATTCTGGTTATTATTAAGAATTGTAAGCTTCAAATTACAAACCTTTTGCAATCTATTAACTCATTGTAAATAAATAAAAAATAGATTTTAAAAATCTAAAGAGACGAAAATCAATAATGGAAAAAATAACAAGCCAGCAAACGTTCAACTAGCCGGCTTTATAGATTGACTTAATTTAACGTTTTTCGTCGATCATTAATTTGGTTGCTAAACGTTTTGAAACAATAACCATTAAATAGACCTATATCACAAATGTTGAGTCTAACTATCTCACTAAGTCTATCTAATTGAGAAATAGAGATATGTTTTAATGTAAATCATCTTTGGAATGTTAAACACCGTGAAGATGTGTTAGGATTCATTAAAAAGAGAAACACCGTCTAATATAAGGTCGGAATTTCCTGATGTTATTTTACATTACCTTCCAAGTATCCGGAGTAGATACTCTTTCGCCAATTCGATTGCCTCAAACATAATCTGAAAATGTACTAAGTATTCTTATTGTATTAAAGTTATATTATAACCTATATGTAGTTTAAGAAAAATATATCACATTTATTATTTACAAAATAGTAACAAATCAATGTATCTAAATGTGAAATTGACGAGTTAGGGTTAGGGTTATTTCGCAGGGGGAAAAGGCGTAAACCATGAGTGTATAATACAGCAGAGATTTATTAAGGAAGCATTGATTAATTTTTAAAAAGTTAATTAAACATCTAATTAAACCACTGTGCATTGTCATCGAGCCTTCATCTATTTGACATCTATGAACGGCATAAGTCTGATAGAAGTGTTTATTTATACGAAAACGTAAATAGCGTAAAGTACTACTTCCGGTCAGGATCAAGAGAATAAAATAGATACATATGTATAAAATGTCGTCCATACATCTCAAATTTACTCAAATTATCGGTGTGTTAGAACAAAATTGAAGTTAATCCAAGTATAATTTTTATAATTATATAATAAATTTCATCTACCTAAATGAAACGGTATTAAAAAGACCACAAAAAACTCAAGATTATCAGATTTCATGGATATAAAGACGTTTTATAAATATTGTTCTTGCTATAAAGTTGATGTTGTTAAATAATGCAAATAAGTTTAAAAAGCTCAATAACTAAAATGCATATTAATGTTACATAATAAAAAATTATTCTGATACAGATGTCTGAACACTCACAGAGACAATTAAAAAACCAAATTGAGCAACTAGACGAATGTTGTGTTTTTTTTAAACAAAGGGTTCGGCGATTTTGTTGAGCAGGTAATTTAAACAAAAAAAACTATAACCAACATCACAATAATAACAGGCACACTTGCACATTCTAAAGATGAAATTGTTTTTTTATATTTGTTACGTAAAAAACACTTGAAAGAGTTGCTTAAAGAAATAAATTGAAACGGTTCTAAAAGCACTAAAATAAGTGTAAATAACAACATCTGATTTGCAGGTGAAACAAAGAGCTATGGGTTGTTTAGACTGCAATATAACATATAAAGCGGATATGGTGTTGGTGACACAAGCTCACAGTACTTTGCTAGAACATATGGATATATTAACTGGTACAGTCAGCACTTTATAAATATGTTAAATATACGTTGTAAAAAAAAGTTATTCCATTTTTATTTTTATTTTAAACTGTATGTACAGTTTTAGAATCCAATCTAGTTATGTTAAATTATTATTAGTAGTATATAAATATTTATATGCACAATAACAAGAAAATAATCTAAGGTATTTTAATGATGCTTTTCAATCAATGTGTAAACATTTTACAGAATCCAAAAAGTTGTACCATGACAATGTGGTGACAGGAGAAAAGACAACCTCAGAAACTATTGAGTTTGGAGCTAAAGCTTCAAATTCTGGTAGGAATTTCAGAATTCTCATTATTAAATATTTAATTAAAAAGTATTGTACACTTAATATGAAGCTCATAATGTATCGTCATAGTATTACTCGTCTAATGCAAACTTATAATCTAATATTATTTTTATCAATACACTTAATTCTATATTTGATTTTAAAAATTAAAACTATCATCTTATTTTTATTATTTTAATGTTATGGAGTTGGTTGGTTATCGTTGGATGATGGTACGGATAAGTTACTACATTTAACCAAATATAACTTTTTGCTTATTCACCATCTAATAGACTATATTGCTAAATACATGAAAAGGGATTGCATTAAGGAGCACTGTTCTCTAAGCCCTTCCATTAACCGATAATTAAATGCAAATAATTAATTTAACTTTCTTCTTAATTTTAACACTTAATCCATACTAGCTAGCACAACAACAAAAACATAGAAATGTAAAAAAAAAAAAAAGATTTGTTTGAGAAATCTAAATTTTTCATCAGATTTGAAATTTTTATGTTGCGAGCAAAGTTATAGATGTTCGAAAAGGTGTTCTTTTTCACACCTATACCTGGTTTTCATGGTAACCAGAACTGCTAGAGGTGACTTTGTACCAATTTTTTAACATTTGGATTAACTAAACACTTTGACACATGTTAATTTTAAAAAAATTGATCTGTGTTTTGCCTAAATCAGTTTCAGAATTTTGTTTTTTAAATTTAAGTTAAAAATAGAATCATATTACAAAGTGTTATTTTTTAAATCATTTAATTTAGATTTAATCAGCCGACTCAAAAACATCGAGACCACAATTTCTGAACTTCAAATCACAGATAAAAAGATTGATGATAATATTTCAGAACTTACAGAATGGAGAGAAAGATCAAAATTAAGACAAAATGATGAAAATTTAAAAATCGAAAAACAAAACCAGACATTTGAAAACATGAAAAAGCAGCTAAATGAACAAGAAAACACAATAAAGGAACTGAATAAAAAAATTAAAAGTTTTGAGGAAAAAGAACCAGGTGCAAAGAAAGCACTAGAGAATATGTATCTAGAAATAAGAGAACATGAAATGAACTTACGAGACTTAAATGAAAATATGCAAGTTCTAACAGATAAGGCCGATATGTTAACACAAGAAATCAAAAGTAGGTCTGATTTTCAAGAACACAAGAGTACAGAGAGTGCAATTTCTAAGGTAGTGAACTTGTTTTTATTTTAAATTAAGTGTTCAAAATTATATTAATAAAGGTACATTTTCAAAGAAAGTTTTTTCTCATATTGGTGCAAGCTCCAACTAAAGAGAACGGTACTTATAAAAGAGATAAATATAATCCTCAGTTACTATAAGATTTATAAGTGAAAGACAAAGCCCACTAAATAAATTTTTAAGCATACTGCACCATTTAAAATGTATACTAGATTTTGGCAAAGTACATATTAAAAACAGCATTAATTTTAAGCAAAATTAAATTACAATTTAATATTATTGCTGAATATTTTCTTGTTTGGTACAAAGATTACATATTATAATATATACGTAAACTCGCACAGCAAACGTCTCCAGCCGCCAGAGCGATAAGACTGTACAACCAGTACAAAGAGAGATCATATAACAAAGGTACAATAAAACTACTTTTAAAATGTGGACCGCAATTCCGAACAAATTTTATTAGCCCATTTGTCTAATGGTAACATATAAACGTATTAACTGTATGACTCATTATTTTAATACATTGTATAAGAGGCTAAATATAGCGCCATAAAATCTAGTTAATTCGCTACCAAGCTACTTAATAAATCAATTGTTTATAAGTGGTCTAGCGGTAGAGAGCTGGACTGCTAACCCGTAAGTCTCGAGTTCGAATCCGGGTTCAAGTCAGTAGACCGTCCCTGAGTCCACCCAACTCGGATGGGTACCTAACTCACGTTAGGGAGAGTAAAGGCGGCTGGGCATAGTGCTGACCACACTATCTCTTCATATGCCGAGGTCACAGAAACAAGTGAACTCTACTTCACTTGCCCCATAGACCGTCAGGTTTGAAAAGGGAACTTTACTTTTTACTTTATAACAAATCGCTTCTTTGAGTAAAGTATCAAAATAACTTATATAGGGGTCATCCATAAACAACGTCACATTCGTAATTTTGTGACGGTGTGTGATGAGGGGTAGGGGATTTCAAATGGTGTGACGTCACACTTTTTCATTATAAAAAAAAACAATGTTAGAAAACGAGTTTAAGCCGCTATTTCGCGTTTTAGAAAACTTTTTTAATCAATTGTAATAGGAATTGATTAAATACTGTAAAATGACAGAGTTCAGACTAGAATTTAAATATCAAGAAAAATTAAACTGAGGAGAAGGTGTAGGCTGAGGTGTGACGTCTTTTTAGGGGGGGGGGGGGGTCTGGCTTTTTTGTGACGATGTGTGACGGAGGGGACGGGGGAGATAAAAATCGTCAAAAAAATTCTTTAAAAAATGGGGAAAGTAACCTATCTAGGAGACACAACACCAAAATCAAATAATCATAATTTGTTTTAGGTTAGACAAATGCTTTTGAAGCAAATCCAGGAAGAAAGGAAGGCTAACATAGGAAACAAAGTCATATGATGCATATTAAGTTAAATCGTAATACTTAATTGTGTTAGAGGAAATCCACTATATAACAGTAATTACTATATTATAATGACTCTTGTCTTGTAAAGAGGTTGGAACAGTTCTTACTTCCGTACGTTATAAACAATGAACTCGCTCAAGAATAACTAAAACATTTAAAACGTTAATCTCATTCCATAAAACTCCATTACAACTGTCCGATTCTTTCTATGTTGTACCCCACCCCTGTCTCTCTAGTCATGACTCCTGCGTCATTGCTATTATTGTCGCGTCATACATTGGGGCGCGGATTTGTCATCATGAACACACGGACATCCGCACACAATGACGAGGTAAAATACCCCTACATGACCACTAACACACATTGTTTCAGGTGAATAAAACGTATGCAATTACTCTTGACCCATATTGTCTACTGTCAATACGAACTAACTGTATATCGGCCTGGGTCCTTATTACAGTGGGGTACTACAATCGATGAATAAATCTAACTCATTGTGTAGGGATGTCCGTTTCATGATGACAAACCCGCCCCCCCCCCCCCCCACAACACCCACGATCCAAGAAATACAGTATGGACATTGTTTACAATTAAGTAACTCTATTCAGCAAACATGCCCACACGTGTAAAAAGGTACGATTGATAACGTTTTCATGAAAAATTTGTATCAGTTTGGTTTGTAGGATTTGATATGGAGAGTTCGTGTTTATCAATGGAAAACTGTAAGTGACCAGCTCACGCGTCGGAAAACTTAGGATTTTTTTTGTGCAGGCTCTTAGAGGAAATAGCCAAAATTCCAAGTGCGCATAAAGAGTCGAATACATAGAATTAAACAACACTTTGATATATTTTACATATTAAAATCAATAGTAGGTAAATTAAATAGACACAATGTATATTAAAAGATATGAAGAATGTGCTTGAAATTCCTTACTACTAAAATGCAATGTGCACATAACACGCACTGTTTCTTTCAGGCGTTTTTCTCCTGGGGAAAACGGGGGAGGTGGACTTTGAAATTTGTGAGGGTCGCATTAAAATCTCGGAGGGGGGGGGGGGGGTTGGAGGGCGGACAGTGGTTGAAGTAGATTTTTTATTTTGCTTACTTATTATATTATCGTATTTCGTTAACGAGCGTTAAATCATTTTCTTCTTACTTTTTCTTTATTACACACTGAATTGTGTTTATCCTTACAGCCAATCAACAAGTGAAACATTCTGCACAAGGCTTTGTTGCTTCAGGTGGATCTATAGTAGACGAAAGAACGCGTTTAGGAAACGTTTTATCTTACACAAATGTCGAAATTAACCTAGGAAACCATTTTGATAAAAAAAGTGGAAGGTTTACCGCCCCTGTTGATGGCCTGTATATCGCGAGTCTCAGAGTATCCCAAACGGAGCATGCAGTTGTACAAGTGTGGATAGCACACAGAACAAGAGATTTGCGGTTTAAGCTCGGTAATAATGAAATAATTACCACATTGAACGTAGGTCCAGACAGTGGCGTATGAAGGGGGGGGGGGGTTAGGAGGTCATACCCCCCCCCATAGACCCCTCGGTATATATAAAGTATGAGAGGGGGTGCAAATCGAAAGTTTGAGGGGGGGGGGTGCAAATCGAAATATTGAGGGGGGGTGCAAATCGAAAGCTTGTCCCCGGGTAAAAATTGGAACCCCCCCCCTTGAGACGATCCTGGCTACGCCATTGGGTTCAAACACATCTGTGGTTTGGATGAGGGCTGAGGATGGAATATTTTCGTATACTAATAATCATAATTTTTACTGTGCACATTTTTCTTGTTTTGTATTGGGTGTCTAGCTTCAATTATTGAAGCCTACAGAATCAAAAATGTAGTTGTCCATTAGATATACGCATATTTCTTTCAGTAATCTAAATCCTTCTATAATTTGTACAATGTAATGTTAACAAACACGTATGATTATTTTAATAATAAACAAATGTAATAATGAAGTAACTTTTTATTCTTCTTGAGTACATCACTCATCAGCGAGTTGTTATGTAATTGGTTTCTGAAGAACGTCATGACGTATAACGCCTCATCAGTGGGAAAAACCCAGTTTGAAAATCATGTTTGGTTTTCTGTGTATTTGTGGTTTTGTGTGATTGTGTAGCTGAAAACAAAATAACTTGAAAGCCGTTTCAGTTATGAGGCAAAGACTTTATTCATTTGATTCAATATATAGGTGTCTATCAACTTTACTTCGATTTCAGGTAGTTGCGAGTAGAACTTACCCTATTTCTACTTTCTCAAAAATCGATATCTCGGCTACAGCTTCAGTACAGTGGGCAATATTTATATATAAATATTGTATCGTATACGCAGGTTGATGCCAGCTTTTGAGCGATTTACTGGAAATGGTAATTTATTCTTATGTGGTTATGTGGACACAGTTGAGTTTCCATACTAATGTATCTTTCAAATTTTGAGAGATTTCAATATCCGAAAGTAGTGCTTTACTCTCATTTCTATTTGTAATGTACCGACGACTTGAGCACCGTTTCAGTTAGTTGGACGAAACGCAAAACCATTGTTGTTCAAGTGCTCTAAGAAAAGTTATGTCCTAAACCTAGTTAGATATTTTTAGCAATTATTTATCGGTTATTAAAGTATAAACTAAACATATGCACATCCATAGTTATCACACTGGTATAAAACAAATGACGGCAAATAAAAGCAAACTAATGTTTATTTTTATATCTAAATCATGGGAGCCATGAGATTCTGAACGTGTGTTATTTTTAACTACTTTTACTTTAAGATTGTTCTGATTGTTCTATTATCTTTTTAAATTCAAACATCTGTAAATTCTTAGTAGTTATTAATTTTAAAATATCTCTTTAAAAATGTATGCAATATATTACATTTTATTCAGTAAAAATATTTTTCAAATGGCATTATGTAATGAACATTTGGTTCATCAATTAATTTAACCCAGTTCAAATATCTCTAAAACAATAAAAAGAAAAAAAAGCTATAATGAAAATTACACAGTCAAAGCCTTTAGCTGCAACACGTTTCTTACAACCTCTTTAAACAAATGTCCAATGTTTGTAAAATAAGACAATATTAATTATATACATACATTTAAATGTTGCATAAAACTAGATACTAATACTATCTAGATTTCCATTTACATTTTGCCAGTTTGAGAAATTCGTTGCCAAGAAGAAAATCGAATAATGTGTACACAAACAGCAATCGTAACCGGAACCTAAATATAAAATATTCCCAGGTTCCAACGAAACCACAAATGTTTTTGAAGTCTCAACATCATTATATTCTGTCTCAACAACATGAAGAAGCCTATATGACCAATCATCCATAATGTCACATACATGCCAAAGACCAGCTGAAATAGCCAGACCTTCCATTGATTTTATTGTCAGACGTACTATATACAGACCTTCAGCAGGGGCAGTAAATCTTGCAAGTTTGGGATTAAAATGGTTGCCAAAGTTGCTTTGAACATTTTTAAACTCGATGTTAAAATCGTCACCAACATGTCCATCTGATGCGATAAAACCCAATGTAGAATACACAGCTGGGTGATTGGCTATGTGAAAATGTAAAACAAATAATTTCAGAATATAGAAAAACTAAGAACGGATTTTAAAATTGGGTACTTAAAATTTTGAAAATAAAAATCTTTTTAGATTTATTGCAAATTTATTTATCATCCTGATAGGTTTCTAGCATCTTCCTTTTATAGAAAACTCAGAGAATTATTAAATAACTCGCTAAAAATTATTAATAATTATAATAATTATAATCGACAATGACTTAGTTAACCGAATTTTATCCTCAGATACATTTGTTTTTTTTTTTGTATTTTATAATTTCCTTTCAAGAATTGTATATTATGGTTAACTGTGCTCTAAGGAACAACATATGTTTAGATTCTATAACATATTTATGGTACCAATTTTGCTTACCGATTTCTTGGACGTCTTTCGTCAACTTTAAAACATCATTTTGCAAACTGTCAATCTATAACGACCAAAAATATATAAATGTATTGTTTAATATAAATAATAAATATCGCAGTAAGCAGATACAAATCAAACTTTGGATAAATATAGATGAAAATCCATTATGTTCAATTGTGTAATGACATATGAAAACATGAAAACGGATGATAATAAAACAAAAAAATATAAATATAAAAATATTTCGTTTATATATTATATTTACAGTAATCAAATGATTGGGGAATGAGTCAATTATCATTCCCTTATTATGACACTAGTTTAAAATCAAACTGCTAAGATCGATAAATGACCAGCTGGGTGGATTCAGGGACTTCCTAAGGACTTAAACCCGGATTCGAACTAGAGACTCTCAGGTTAGCATTTGTATGCTATACCATACCACCATGTCGTCACCTAAGCACTAATTATAGCAGCCAAATATTTATACGCAGTTAATTGATATGTACTAAATAACGATACACTAAGTGAAATAAATATCAAACTTATTTTTTTAAATATTATTGAATTTGCACACATGCAATTATTTCATGCATTACATATTTTAGTAGGCATTATTAATGTTCGCGTTGTAATCACGGGATGTATTGTAGATTTTAATAACTCTATAATGGCTGAACATTTTTCAAAGTAAATGTAAAATTATAATATCAATATCAATATCTATATATATATATATATATATATATATATATATATATATATATATATATATATATATATATATATAAACACATATATATTTTACATTTAAAAGCACAATTTGTATGGAAGAATGTTCAAAATCTTGATAATTTACTTTTACCTTGTTTACATTTTGTGCTTGTATCACCGAATTGTTATTAAATACTTGCATTAACTTGTAGATGGGAGAAAATCTCTGTTGTAGCAGGCTGCACACTACGCCATGCTGAAATGACGGTTAGTATAAATGTATGCGAGTAGGCATTAATAGTTTTCAATTACATTTTTAAATTGTTTTACAAAGCGTCTTTAATTTATCGTGCATTGTGTCATTTTTTTAAACAACATATACGACAAGGGGTACTCAATCATATAGTGGTAAGCTACATGCCTTTGAACTAAAATTTTGAAGTTGTTTTTCTGTATTAGCCAATGCTTTCTTTTCATCTTCTTGTAAATCAGTAATCAAGTCAGAAAGATTATCCATTTTTTTGGCTAAGTCATCTGTACAAACTTTTGTTTCTTTATTATATTTGTTTAAAATCTTTTCATTTTCTTTTAAAATCTCGATTTCTTTTTCACAACTTTTTATTTTATTATCACGTAACTGTAATTCTTTTTTAAGGTTTTTGTTATTCTGTTTTTGTTTCCTCGATAACTGTTCAATCTGTGACCAGCAGCCAGTTTGTTCTTCCATAAAGGTGCCCCGCCATTGGTTTATTTCTGTTATGTCGTGTTCAGACTTCTTTTGTAATACTTGAAGGGATGACAGTGTTGCCTCAATAGCCTCCAGTCGTCGGATTATTTCTACAATAAAAGATGAGTGAAAAGTATGCAGTTTTTGAACTATTTTTTAATTATTATTTTTTAAAATAAACACTTAAATGACTTGCAATCAGCTGTAAAAGTTAACAATACATTTGTTTTGACTTATGGCAACGTACCAGAATTAGGGGCCACTGAGTTTATTTCATCTTTGATTGATTTTACTTTCACGCTTTCTGAAACTGTGTTTTCTTCATTGGTTACAATAGAAGGATACCGTTTGTTGGCTTCTGTCAAAAAGTTTAAAATGACTGCATGTTAATTAACAAACAAAATAAGTATTTCACCTTAAAGATTAATTTGTAAATGTAACTTTTCAAAATCTGTTTTATTTTTTAATTTTTACTGAAACAGCTGTTTGATAAATTAAATTAACGATGAATACAACTCTGATGTATAAGCACATCAATACAATAAAAAATTATTTAATTTTATTCACAAGAACATTGATACAAATCTAACACACAGACCCGTCAACAAGTCCATGTGTTCAAGTATCGCACTGTGTGCTGTTGTTATCATAACCATCGCGTCTTTGACCGTCACATTGGTGTCAGAAGTGTTGTCTAGACATTCAGATGCTTTTTGTGTGATCTATAAACGTGTAACGTATTTTATGTTTAATGAATCTTTAAGTATATCCGATGAAAGTTTTTTTAGTCAGTACTTTTGCTTAAGCAAATAGGCCTACTTCATGGCATAAAAATAAATTATCAATCATAATATATTTTATTTAGTGTTATCGTCCCCTTTTTGTAAGCGTTGGACCATACCAACAAAACATTCGCTCTAAAGTTATCACACATTGATTTTACCTCTTTAACGAAATCACTTAAGCCATTTTGTAGCTGAGAGCTCAACTCTTCCAACTGCTCAAGCTGAGTTTTTAAATGTTTCAGTGAATGTTTGGACATCTACACACAAAAAAATAATTATATTTTACCGTATTTAAATTTAATAAGTTATGGTCAGCAGTACTTACAAATGTTATATATATATATATATATATATATATATATATATATATATATATATATATATATATATATATATATATATATATATATATATATATATCTTAGATCAAAGGTCGAAAACTGCTAACAATGCACAATAAACAACTATTCGGAGATATTTTAATTTAGAAACAATATAGATATATGAGCAAAGCAGCGTACCAGAATAACTGTTCTACTTACTATTTTCTTGGACTATAATTAGAACGAATTTAATATTATTTGGAAAGTTATAAAATGAAAATTTTGTAATTTAACACAAGATGCAGCATTAAAATATCAGCCAATCATTCGTGTAAAATTAACTGAATAATATTTATTCTGAAAATGGATCAGATCGATCGAATGCAGCACAGGTATTCTGAAAATGAAGGATCTATATTTCCTTGAAACGTCTTCGAGTGCTAGAAATGTTATCGGGAAAATCCAATCGATCAACCTTTTTTTTCGCTTTTACAATTGAGGTTTAAAACGTCAGCTACAAAATACGTTTGTTATAATGTAGTGGATATTACAATTGAGGTTTAAAACGTCAGCTACAAAATACGTTTGTTATAATGTAGTGGACTGTGGCGTAGGCAGGGGGGGTTAGGGGGGGGGGGGGGTCATAACCCCCCCCATAGACCCCTCGGTATATATAAAAAGTATGAGGGGGGGGTGCAAATCGAAAGTTTGAGGGGGGGGGTGCAAATCGAAAGTTTGAGGGGGGGGGGGGTGCAAATCGAAAGTTTGTCCCCGGGTAAAAATTGGAACCCCCCCCTTGAGACGATCCTGGCTACGCCACTGGTAGTGGATATTACAATTGAGGCTAAAATCTTACACTTAAAAATATGGTTGTTGTGTTGTAGTGGATTGACATGTTAAATCATAATGAATTTTTAAATTAATTTTTGCAAAGGTAATTTAAACAGGTAGCAAAGTCGGTATCCTTCAGTGAGTCTTTGACGCCTTCAATCGGGATTACTAAAGGTATGTGTCTAAATCATTAAAGTGTTTCATTAAGTAATTAAAACTAAGTAATTAAAGTTAATTATAAATCTAACATTGCATCGATCTCCATGATAAAATTTCTATAGTATGATTTTTTCTTCGTTATTTGCAGTTACGGAGTGCTCATAACCTGGCTCAATTTTAGTACTTTAACCAACACAATTCGATAACCCCAGAGATTATTTAATTGTTTAAATTTGAATGTTTTAAAATTCTAAAATATTTAATTTTGAATTATTCTATTTAGATTCGTTAAAAAGCTAGACACAATTTCTTCCAACCGGAATTTCCCGATGTGACTTTACATTAGCTGTGATACAGAAGATGAAATCGCCCACTTCCACATCTCCATTGCCTTGAACATATTTGAAAATCTCATAAGTTTTACTATTTTAGTAAAATAATAATATAACCATTGCATAGTAAGTAACATATATTACATTCTTTAGCAGAGAATATTCTAAACAATAATCCGAAACCGAATTGTTCTGTTCCAAATTGTAATATTACTACTGGGAATTCGGAATGGTGTGTTGAAATGGTAGACTGTTCGACTGCTAAACCGAAAGTCTCTAGTTCTGATCCGGGGCAGGAGTCCGTATGATGTGCCTGAGTCAACCCAGCTCTGATGGGTACCTGACTTACGTTAGGGTAAGAAAAAAAGGCTGGGTTTAGTGCTGATCACACTCATATGCCGAGGTCACTAAAACATGTGAACTCTACTTCACCTGCCCCATGGACTGTAAGGTTTAAAAGAAAACTTTACTTTTTACTTTTATTATTAAAAATACTGTGTTGAATATAATATAAATTATAAATTTAATCAAAACATGTGAACTCTACTTCACCTGCCCCACGGACTGTAAGGTTTAAAAGAAAACTTTAGTTTTTACTTTTATTATTAAAAATACTGTGTTGAATATAATATAAATTATAAATTTAATCAACACATGTGAACTCTACTTCACCTGCCCCATGGACTGTAAGGTTTAAAAGAAAACTTTACTTTTTACTATTATTATTAAAAATACTGTGTTGAATATAATATAAATTATAAATTTAATCAACACATGTGAACTCTACTTCACCTGCCCCATGGACTGTAAGGTTTGAAAGAGAACTTTACTTTTTACTTTTATTATTAAAAATACTGTGTTGAATATAATATAAATTATAAATTTAACCAAAAAATTTAATTTAGAAATTAAAATGTTTATGCAGATGTCTGAGCACTCAAAGAGACAATTAAAAAACTTAATCGAGCAGCTGGAGGAATGTTGTGTTTTTTTACAGAGTGGATTCAGTGATTTTGTTGAACAGGTATTGAATAAAACTATAACCATTATCATAACCCTGACACTATTGCTAAATCTAAACAAAAATGTCCTAGTTTGAGATGTAAATTACTTCATAAATACCAGAGTTTGCTTCGAGAGAAAATCGAAACGATTTTAAAACACTAAAGAAGTTTAGTTAAACACATCTGATAAAATACCGTACATTTTAACAGGTTAAACGGCGAACGTCTGATTGTTTACAGAACAACATGGCATTTAAGGAGGCGATTGCGGTGGCCTCAACAGCACACAGCACTCTGCTAGAACATATGGATATGTTAACTGGTACAGTCAGCACTTTATGTATTATGTTAGCTACGTAATTTTACATACAATGCATTTTTATTATTTAGTAAATAAAATATGTGCATGTCATTTAAACGGAGATTTATTTACAGGAAATTTAATGAATCGCTTTTATAAATTACTGAAATTTACTACAGCTTATCCTAAAGTCATGAAACCATTCAGCATATGAGTTCTAATTTGACAGAATCCAAAAAGATGTACCCTCGCCAAGAGATGACAAAAGAAAAGATGACAACAGAAATGTTGTATGCGAAATCAACACAAGGCGAAAAGGTTACAGAAGGCACAAATTCTGGTAAACTATCAACACCTAACTTCATGTAACGATGAATCAGCAGTATCTCGATTGGTATTAATAGTCGAATGCAAACAGCTACATTAATAATATTGTTATTAATATTCTTTAGCTTATCACAAAAACCAATTCAATAAATAAGTAACTTTGTAAACTTTTCTATTAAAATAATTTATATTTTCACCAGTTTTTACACTGAATTTTATGTTGGGCCATTATTCATTATTTATATCCATTAGTTAGTGCTTATATTATCATGGCGTTTCTCTGTTAATGCTTTCCGTTTGAATAGTTTTAGTGCGTTTAAACAAATTGTATGCAAGTTATAGAGTCTAGCGGCTAAACAAAACATTTTAAAATGCTTTTCCTTGTCCAGATTTACTGAGTCGACTTGAACACATTGAAACAGCATTTGCTGCTCTCCAAGACATAAAACAAAAAACTGAGGACAACATAGAAGAGCTAAAACAATGGAGAGACAACTCTGTAACAAAACATAATGACTTGGAGATAAACATTGAAAAATTGTCTAAGAAGCAAAAACTGAATTTTAAAAACATGAAAAAGCAATTAAATGATCAGGATAAAAAAATAATGGAAATTAATAAAGTAATTGAAAATTTAAAACAAAGACAATCCAGTACTGCAGAAAGACAAGAGAAAATGTCTCTAGATATAAAAGAGCATGAAACTGACTTTGAAAAGTTAAATCAAAATGTTCAAGATCTAACAGACAGTTTTACACAACAAATAAAAGAACATTCTGATTTAATCTATGATTTACAAGAAAAAGAGAAAAATATAGAACACAAATTTGACAATTTAATTTCTAAGGTACTAAACGATCACTTTAAATAAATTTATGCGAATAAAATTGTACAAAGTAGATTTTATAATCTATTTTCTTTTCTCAATGCATTTTCAATATTTTCTGAAAATCACAAGAAATAAACCTAATTACGCATTACCATATGGTTTTTATGGGAAAAAAAACAAGAGGAAAAAAAAATAAAGATATGGTAACTTTAAAATAAATATGCAACGAGTTTTGACTAATTTAATTTTATAATCAGTATAATATATAACTTAATATTTTTAAAGTTTTGTGGAATTATCAACAAATGTTTTTAATTCAGCAAGCCGTGATGTGTAAAGTTCTACAACAAAGGTTGTCTCCCATTGACAAATTTCTTCAAATGTTTAACTAGGATTCTGAGAGCAGGGATGAAAAACTAAAGAAAGTAAAAAATACTTTTTTTTTAAATTAACGGTTTTTACAAGCACATTCTGTACTTTGTGTGTACTTCTGATCACTTTTTTTTCATTCTACTTATATGGTTGTCATATTGATTGTAATAACTACATATACGAGGACTACGTATATATCACTAACGACAAAATGTTTAGTTCATTCACTAAATTGTAACACTCCATTTTAACAAAACAAGATTTTGATTAAATAATGTATCGAAATAATGTATTTAAAAGTGTCAAGAAGATATCTACTGCAGATAAGTGCTAATAAAAGCTTGTAAAAAAAAGATAAGGTAACCCATACTACGAACATACAAAATGACAGTTTTTCTATAAAAAAGCAACAGGACTCACGTTGATACAGACATTGGAGAAGAAAAAGAGTGCAGACGACATGAAGACTTTAAGGCATTATTCCAATATTGAGAAAAAAGGAAAAGAATTATTTGAAGCTGTTTCTATTGGTGATATGGGAGCAGTTAAAAAGCTACCTAAGGCAGATTTTCAAGATAAGAACGGCTACACTGCACTTATAAAGGCCATTGTTTTCAATCAACCAGAAGTTGCCAGATTTCTCAACACAACCAGACCCCAACTAAAATCTATTCCAGACAATAGCAATAGATACCCACTTCACTACGCCTTTGCACTTACAGAATCTGAAAGTATAGAATTTGTTAAAATGCTACTAGAGAATAACCCAGAAGAAATTGAAATGAAATTTGACAAGGATGGAATATTTCCAGCAGAATATATCAACCTGAGAGAAACAGACAAATTCATGGAGTTGTTAAATGATGCCAGAACATTAGACGTGTATGGCGTTAAGAATAAGTCATTAGATTATTGGAATCATGAAAACGAAATACAAAAAATTGACTCATCTAGTATTAACAGGGATTTGTCTACAGTGAGCTCACTTTTTGCTAAACATTGCAATGATGCTCAATTTTATCAACACTAACACAGTAACTGGTTTAAATTCTTCAAAATAGATCGTATTTATTACTACAACCATACTGCTATTAATAATTAATTGCAATATTTCATGTACTCAGATTGTCACCAAACCAGTTTTCATGTCACATTAAAATTTTCATGCATAGTAAAAAAAAAAAAAAAAAAAAAAAAAAAAGCTTGTAAAAATAGAAATGGTTTGTCATCAGAGAAAAATGGTGACAGTAAAATTACGGTTAAAATTATGTTGTAAGTAAAATCTTAGAACTAAATAATTTATCATCAGCGCTACCAAGTAATATTTCCTTTTTTTCTTAGGTTAATATTCTTGAAAAGGATGTTTTAAAGTTATCACAGGACTTTCATACACTAGGTAGGTCAATAAAGTCGTCAATACAATATTAATTATATTAAATTTATAATACATATTGTAATAACAATTGTGAAATATATGGCTTTTTAGAATTATATTATAGAGGTTACATAGGTTATGGGAAATATATTTTTGCAGCCATTTGAAAGTTAAGGTAAACTCACGAATAAATCAAACTTAGCTCAACACCGGCCAAATGGCAGTGTCAAATTTCTGGTAATGATTTTATAAATGTTCAGATTCTTTTCTGCTTTTTTGAACGCTACTAAACACCAAACTCTATTCTTCCTTACAGCCAATCAGCAAGTGAGACATTCTACACTAGGTTTTGTTGCTTCAGGTGATCCGGTGGTAGTCGAAAGTAAAGGTGTCGGATGTATTGTATCTTACAAAAAAGTAAACCTAAACATAGGAAACCATTTTGATCCAAAAAGTGGAAGGTTTACCGCCCCTGTTGATGGCCTGTATATCGTAAGCCTTAGAATAAGACAAAAGGGCTGTGTGGGCGTGACAGGCTGTATAAAGCATGTATTTGGAGATGAGGAATCATGGATCGGTCGTGTTGACACAAAAGATGTATTACACGAAGAATCAAGTATAACTTTGGTTTGGATGAAACCTGGAGATGTAATATATTCATATTGTTTTGGTAATGGTTTTAACTGTACACATTGTTCTTGTTTTCTCATTGGAATCTAGTTAAGATTATAAAAGCTGACAGAATTTATTTAGTATTTTGTTTTAAATTATCTACTTGTCCTTAAAATTCAAATGTTTCATTTTAATAATAATTGCAAATCCATTTTTACAAAATTTAAACCAATGTAAGGTGACTATATATGCGATCACTAACATTTTGTAAAAAATTAAACGAAACAAAAACAACTGTATTGTAACATATGTAGAGGCCTATATTTTATTAACTTTCATTTATCACGTGTTTAACTCTTATTGTGCCCATCATATCTTGATAGGAAAACAGTAGAATAAAAAATCTGATTGATAGCCTGCAGCTTAATGGTTTATGTGTAATTATTTTTAACAATGTTAATGCATTACTTGTGAACAATAATAATGAAATTAGAATTAAAAGCTGAAATATTTATTAACACGCATTCAAAACATTTACTTTGAAACACTTTGTGTTAAGCATTGCATTTGGAGATGTAAAAATGATTTCAATAAATATATACTCCTACTGACAAACAGTTCAAATTTTTAATCGAAATCGGGATAAATGTACTTCATTATATTACTATAAGCTAAGATTAATTACTAAGTTCTTTATTGAATACTCAGTTATTTTTAAAATCTTTGAAAATATTAAATCATTATAGCACCATGTTAATTGCCATAGGTATTTCGAACATGGTATCCTAGTAACATTAATATATATATATATATATATATATATATATATATATATATATATATATATATATATATATATATATATATATATACATAATGTGTGTGTGTAAGTGTGTGTGTGTGTGTTGTATGTAAACAAAATCAAAGATCGAAGAATGCAAAAATAAAACACGTTTAGAGAGTTCAAAACAAATAGTAGGATACAACATGTGTTAAAATAATCAAACATGATTAGATACTTAAAATGACACCGTCAATTTCAATGTCCATTCAGCAACAGAGTTGATATTTTAACTACGTGTGCCACAGTAGATACACCTGAGCTACATAGGTGAACGTTAAAAGATATAGAATTTTAGTCATGTTGCCTGGTCTGTGAGTTCAACTCAGTTAATCGACACTTATATTTTGATACAACCAAAATGGTTAAAGGCATTTGTTTACAATGCATTTGTTTACATTTTGTTAAGATATATTTCCGTTTATTATGCAAAAAAATCGGGATTGATCTCCTCTAAACTTTCTCGAATATCCTATATAATACAAGGGGGATGGCAACTCGGAATATAAACATGATTTTTAATCCACTTTTAATTACTTAAACTTTTAAAAATAGAATAGAATTTTGTAGAAAAAAAAAGAATTGCGCACCATGTGAATGACAAAGAATATCTGTATATAAGTGCGGATTAACACTACTTTATAAATTCATATTAGTTTTTTGCGAAATCGGAAATCGCGTAAATTACTACTTCCGGTCAACGGAAATTACTCTATTTTTTTTCAAAAGGCAGATCATCAGATCTTTTACTTACATGTGAAATTTCATTCACAGGCTTTGAAAATTTGAAAGTAGAATATGATTTATTTCCGATTACCGGAAATCACTGAAAAGTTGATACAGAAATACAAATTATATATTATACTTATCTATGAAATTTCATGAACCTAGCTGTAGCGGTACTCAAATTATCGTGTTCACAGACACACATACACACACATACATACACACATACACACACAGACATGCTGACAAAATTGCAAAACTATGTTTTTCCGACTCAGAGATATAATACGTCGAGTTTTGTGAAAATCTTGATTTTGATTTTTTGCCCGATTACAATACTTCCTCTATAGGCTACTTCTTATACGAGAAAGTAACAAGTAAAAAGAGGTTTTTTTTTAGAGAATAAAAAATTATTTTAGAAAATACTCTTCATTTCGTTTTCTCTGTATCAATAATTGATATTAATTACCAAGAAGGAAACAACTAAACTGTCTACACTGAATTCCCAGGCTGTCACTTTGTGAATACAACACATCGCCAGTTTTCATCCTAACGACAAATGTGTTTGAAAACACGTAAATATCGCCCTTCGTCTCAACAGGACCAAACCATGAGGCAGTTTTTCCAGATTTGTGCATCAGCCATCCCTGAACCGTCTCGTGTCCTGTCTGTTTTATTCTCAGACTCGCCACGTACAGGCCGTCAACAGGGGCGGTAAATCCTCCAGTGGTTGGGTTAAAATGGTGTCCTATGCTATGTTCAACCGTGGTGTATGATAGTGTGTAGAGTCCCTGTACTGCCCTGCGTTTGTCCAGCTGGCTACCTGATGCTATGAAACCCACGGTTGAATGGCTCGCATGTTGAATGGTTGCTGTAAGAATAAAATGTGTTTAGTAAAAGGAGACACATTTTTACAAAAGAAAATATAAAATGTTTAGATAAAGAAAACGATAATATAACCATTTGAGTCAAGTGGGTACTGTGTACGGAATAATCAAATACTCGAAAATTCTAACTACTAAAACTAGTACTTTAATTTACGTGCACAATTACTAGACATCAAAATAAAACAATACAAAACAGCAGAATTAATTATTTTTTTTATTACTCTTAACAATATTGCTTAATTTTCTTCTGTTTAAACGTGCTTATCATAATCTTTTCCCGTTCGTGCCCAAGACACATGAATCAGATACAGTTCATCTGTTTCAGTGACCTCGGCATTTAAAGGTGTAGTGTGGTCAGCACTATACTTTGCTGTCTTTACTTTCCCAAACGTGAGTTAGGTACGCCTCAGAGCTGGAAGGGGAGGGGGGCTCAGGGACGTTTCACTGACTTGAACCCGGATTCAAACTCGAGACTTTCGGAAACATGCTTATAGTAATTTACAATTTGTAAATAATTAAAATAATAATGATAACGTAGTTTATGAAGAGACAAAGTTTATTTCAAAGAATGTACTCAACACAGCGTCAAGAATGATAACCCATGTATACCCTACGTAAAACTAAATAAGCATACACATTTATAAGAAATCAAGGTGTTCGATCAAGGTGTTGATTGATAGCAGCTAGGGTATAACGCATGTGGTGTAAAGTTGGAAGACTAGAGCAAATAAAGTATTGAACATTGCCTTGGATCGTGTTTTGTATTGAATAAAACCCAGCTGAGCAGTATTGTTTAATGAATTATTCACCTACCTATTTTGTGAATATCACGTGAGAGTCTAAAAATATCATTTTCAAGAGCTTCAATCTGCCATACAAATAAAAATAATATTAAAGCATCTATATATATAATTCTCTTCTGGGAGCCGCTAGAAAACAAGCTGCAAACGCGCCTAGAAAACAAGCTGTAAACGCGCTCCTTACCTCCCCACCCCTACATGGTTTTAGTGAGCTGTGTTCACTCTAAATGTTTACAAGCAGAGCCAACGATTTTAAACGTAAGGGGGGGGGGAGGGGGGAAGGAAAGGGGGGGTATGGTCCTTAACGAGCTACTTATAGTGTTTTAAAGAAATATTTTCAGTGGCAGCGTTGGTACTGTCGAATTCACAAATTACTGAATAGTAGAAATAATAATGATTAAAAAAGTTTAAAAAAACCCACGTTTTCTGATTGAACTAAAAAGTATACTATAAGCGATCAAAAACGTGGGGCGCCGTGATTTTCTTACAGTTTCTAATACTGTTGACTCTCTACAAGCTCCCTAATAAAAGTCAATAGTATTATCTAATCAATAGTAATATAACTTTTACTTCGGCGCCCCACGTTTTTGATCGCTTATAGTAGAGTGATCGCTTGCATTATTGATGTATAACATTTATTTTCTACTTTTTAGTTCAATCAGAAAACGTGGGTTTTTAAAAACTTTTTTAATGATTATTATTTTCTACTTTTTAGTCTTTGTCTGTTTGTTTGCATTGAAATCTTGCTATCGATTTTATCTTTTCACTTTTTTTTTGGGTAAACGAAGACAACTCGTAAAAAGACTACTCGTAAAAAACGAGAGACCCTTTCTTCTTCGGTCTCAATCGCAAGTGAATGATTGTTACTGACTAGAACACATAGATTTGAACCCGTGTCGAGTTGGATAGCAATCATGTGCCCAACCACTCGACCATATCGTCTCCCCCAAACTGGCCTACCTCCTGTAAGTTTAAACTCGGTTCAAACTAAATTATCTGCCCCTAAGCCTGTGGCGACGTGGGATCGTTCGCTTCACTGCGCGCGAGGTACGCGTCGCTCGTTTTTTTTCTAATGGCTCGCAGAGGAGAATTATATATATATAGATTATATAGCGGTCTAAAATGCTCAATAAAATGTTTCCATTTATCAATTTAGTAATAATAACAATTTAATATTCTATGGTCATCCAAAAGAAAGCTTCCCTGAAAATTTCAGCGCGCTAGCTAACTGGGAAGTGCCCGAAATTTCGATCGCAAGATTGGATTGGAAAAACAGACAAAACAGACAAACAGAGAAAGCAAGTTAAAGAAAACGTGGGAAAAAAACAACAACTAAATAGCGGCGTATGTTATGCCGCGGGCCGGCTCGTTAATAAATAAAGTATATAGTGCAATTTTATTTACCTGTGTTATTATTCGTTTTGTGGAGGGGATGGGTACGGAATATATTTGAAGACAGACTAAAACAACATTACGTTTATAAAAGTTTATTATTAGTAAAATTACTGGTAGGTAGTGATGAGAAACGTAATTAGTTTTGTTTTTTAATTAGTTAACAACGTATTTTGAAAATTTAAAATTTAGTAAATAATCTAGATATTGTAGCTTATTAATTCTACGATTAGTTCCTGTATGAGGAACTATTACCATTAATGCAGCATAGACCGTTACTATATATAAGACAAATCAAATCAAATTAAATCATATCAAATTATTCTCACATGTAGAAAAATCGTATTGTAAAATGTGTTTTGAATTGTAATTTACTTTCTTTAGATTTTCCTCCCTGCTCTTTGAGTTCTGGTTCAACATTTGAAGCAATTTGTCGAGGGGAGACAACCTTTGTTGTAGGACTTTACACATCACGGCTTGCTGAATTATACAAAATGTAAAAGTACAAAATTGTGTAATATTCAAACAAAATTAAAGGGAAATGTTTTTTAAAATGAGGATGCATAAAAAAATCTACTAAGCTAAACTTAATGTTTTATCTGTTATTTTAACATTATTACTAATTCATTACCTTAGAAAATATACTATCAATTTTGTTTTTTGTAGTTAAAATAGTTTTCTTATCTGCTTCTTGTAAATCATAAATTAAATCCGAATGACGTGTTAATTTTTGTGCTATTTTATCAGTCTTCTCTGTTAGAACTTGTATATTTTCATTTAACTTAAGTAAGCTCATTTCATTTTCTTCTATGTCTAGAGAGAGTTTCTCTATTGTTTTGTTTGACTTAGATTCTCTTTCAGCTAAGCTTTCAATTAGTTTACTCAGTTCTTTCATTTTGAGTTCCTGTTCATTTAAATCCTTTCTTATGCTTTGAAACTCAAGGTTTTGTTCCGTAGACATTTTGTCAATCTTAAAATCCACGTCATTTTGTTCTGAAACAGAAATGTTTCTCTCTTGTTTTATTTCCAACACGATTTCTTCATTGTCTGCTTTTGTGTTTTGACGAGAAGACAGAGTCATTTCAATGTTTTCTAGCCGTCTGAGTATTTCTAAAATAAAAATGAGTAAAATATGCAAACGTTAGTAAAACTAAGAAAGTAATAATATATCATTATTTTGTTTTATTCATATTTTAAATTTCATATCGAGTTGGTAGAAACTTTAAAATATAAACTAAGATTTGCTTTGTAGCTGTATATAGAAAGAAAATGTAACAATATTCTATAACAAATACACGACAATGTTAAGATATGTGTAAATTGATATTCTTCTTTATCTGCCCTTAGTGTCTTGGGCACAAGCAGGAAAGGATGATGATAGTAAACAAAATGTGTTATTAATAATGATATATATTGAGGTTCAGTTAGCAATGCTGATTGTAAGATGAAATAATCGTAAACTTGCATTCATCGGATAATTCTTTTATGATGTATAATTACAAATGTTTCCATTTACATAACAATTGCTATTCTGAATTAACTTACCAGATTTACTGGCCTTTGCAAACAGTTGATCGTCTGCTGATGTTACATTTTGCCCTTCCGGTGCGGACTTGGCTTTTGTGATTACTGTGGGGGGGTACAGCTTGGTGGATTCTGTTCAATTGTAACACGGGAATTATGTGCGTGTTTATTAATTAATAATCTCCAATTATTAATGTGCTTTAGATAGTCATCCCCGCTAATTACAAATTACAAATTTCACTCTAAAAATCTAATAAAACTTGTAACAATAAAAAGCTGTACCAGTTAACATATCCGTGTGTTCGAGTAATACATTGTGTGCTGTTGTTACCATGACAATCGCCTCCTTAAATGTTAGGTTGCATTCCAAGCTTTCCGTTATTCTTCTTTTAACCTATAAAATGTACTAGGTTTTAAATCTGATATTATTAAGCAATCATGTTTCAAAATATGTTTAACTTTTTAAATGAGGCGTTTTAAATGAGATTATATTTCCAAAAGTAAAATTGCAATTTGAAAGAATTGTTTAGATTATCCCAACAAACTTGTTATTATTGCTAAGATTGCACCAGTAAAAGCTAAGGTTGTGATTATAGTTAACCCTTATTACGGGTTTTTTATGATTCTATAAGATTTTTTAAACATTTGCTAAATATATAATTTAAAATAATGACTACTAACGGTATAAACGATAAAAACTGAAGATGACGAAACGACAAATATTTTTTCTTTTTATTTTGTAATTATATATATATATATATATATATATATATATATATATATATATATATAGTATACATATAGTATACATTCATATATATATATATATATATATATATATATATATATATATATATATATATATATATATATATATATATATATATATATATTAAGGAAAGGTCAAATGCATTGCATATTGAAGCCTAAAGTGTGTGTGTACCTGATTCACGTAATCGCCCAATCCGTTCTGTAAAAATGTACAACATTCTTCTAGTTGATCAAATAAATTCTGAAGTTGTCTCTTCGAGTGTTCACTCATCTGTGTTTAATATTTGATTTTTAATTAAACATACTAGCTAATTGCTGTAAAGGCTCATCCATATAATTATGACGTTATCACGGATTGTGGAGGGGGTGGAGGAGTGCAAAACAAAACGTTTATGGATTTGGGATGAGGGTTCGTGTTCCGTGTAGAAGTTCACGCCCTAAATTCAACATTAAAGTAGTTATACCTTACTACATAGACGAAAAGCTTACACTGTTTTCAAAACTGTTGAGGCCTACATTTTGTACTGTATCCTATATTTTATTTTGTTGCTTTCTTTTGCTCAGCACATTTCCGAGTCTTCTTTAAACATTTTATTACAAACATTACGAAACAGAACAAAAAGTGTATCAGTAAATGACCCTACAATAAATGCTCTAACCCTTCTGCCTACGCCGATGCTAACCTAAATTGGTAACTTAATGATTCTCATTGCCTCATGTGTGTGTGGTCAAATTTAGACCAGCATGTGAAAGTAAAATCAATACGTCTGCGCACTTAGACAGATAAATGTCCATAGCCCCCCCCCCCTCCCTCCCAACTTGTATATTATTTTTACATCAACAAACATACTTTATTTAAACTTTAACAGGTAGTGAATGTATACTATAAAATATAAAACGATTATATTGTAATTGTAACTATATACAATCAAACAAATTAGAAAACAAATTTGCATGATAAAATTTAACCTCTGTTTACTTTCTTCAAATGACAATTACTTTTCTTTTGTATATAATAGTAAACTGAACGTCCGATTTAAGATCAATTTGAATCAGGTATAAATGTATTAAATTTCAAATGACGGGTCAGAGATAGTATATTTATTTTTAAAATATTTGCGAGTTATAAAACTAATAGTCTGTAACGTTATAATCGTCAAATTGAAATGAGTAAGATAAAATAATTATTTTAGTTATTAATCTCCAATTGTAAAAATCAATAACTTCACTTACTTTTATAACAATTGAAAAGGTTATAACAAATGAGTTAAAGTTTGTATATTGTTAGAATGTTGAGGTACAGAAAAACACTCGCTGGTTTAAAATTAAATCTACATAATACCCATCCGTCAGCCTCGCTCATGATAGTTGTAGTAGTTTATCAGATATGACCGATACGCGTCTAAGCTTTATTTATAGCTAAACAACGGCACGTTCATTTGATAAATCTTTTAGCAGTTGTAGCTTTTTCAGGCTGCATTATTCTTGTAAACAAGCATACCTATAAATTAAACTAACGAATAGCAGAATAGTCAACACAAAAATCTTTAGTTTCACCGGGTTCTATGACCGCAGAATGTAAAATCATTTTGTGATAGCACCAACATAAGCCAATACATTTCTTGACTTCTTGATTGTTGTTGTGCGGTCTATACTGTCTTATGTTGTGAAATATATTACCCATTATTTATTTTCACAGGATTTTCTGGTTTAAAAATACAAATTCTAATTACCAACGCGTTGTACTTGGCTTAACAATTGTTTCATCTGAAAATAGAAAATATTTAAATATTAAAACTTACACTTAATTGACACACTAGGTTACAATACGGTAAGTACATAAAACATGATACTTCAGAAAGCTGACTTTTAAAAAAATGACTTTATTAAATTAAAATGATGAAAAATTAATGTCAAAGAAATAAATGGTTATTTAAACTCACAGAGCGTGTAAAGATAATTATCTCAGACAAACCTCTGTGTTTATAGATTTATATCCATCAGAATTTTTTGTTTTCCAAATCTGAACAAGTTTTTATAAAGTTATCAGCAGATTTAGTGTTATGTTCCTCCATCTTTCAAACATCTTCTTTTGTTCTTGTTTTCTCCGATCTCTCCATGGCGATGTTCTTGTCTTGTGTTGTTAATTATTGAATGGATAATTCTTTCCTACACATATTAAAATTTGTTGATAGCAAATCAATGTTTCTTCAAATAAAAAAACGCAATTTCTTGTCTCAGATATTTCTTCTTTATTTCCTCTAAATAAGAAATATTATATTCCTTTATTCAATGTCTTTAATCGTTTCTTTTGTGATTTCATTCGAAAATGAACGTTTTCTAATTTTTTGAATGTTTTTCTTGTTTGTGTTTTCGAATTATGTTTATTTTCTTCTTATTCTTGTCGTTAACTAATATTTATTTTTTCCATTTTGCCTCCTCTTTCCATATATTTTCTAGCATTTTCAACGACGTTAATCCTAGTTTAGTTGTATCAATTTGCTTTAGCTGTTAGATTATATTGGCCTAGAGATATATACAACGAAATAGAATTGATGAAACTGAAAAACACTTTCACACATATTGCAAACTATACTACTGTATTAATATATATATATATATATATATATATATATATATATATATATATATATATATATATATATATATATATATATATATATATATAGGCCTATATATATGTGTATATATATATATGTTATATAAATAATATATATATATATAAATAAAACAAGTCGGGAATATACATGTTAATGTTTTAATGTGCTCGCTGAATGATTGTTATGATTCTATTATCTGTTTCACGTTTTGGCAAGCTCGGTCACTTTTCATCATATTCCTCATCACTGCTTTGATCTAAATTTGATTTAATTGATATTTTAAATACCTTCTTTTTGGATAATTTAATATAATTTAAAACGCCATTTTTTTTTAAAAACTTGTGAACTATCTTGCATCATGTGTATTATACTTATCATTTACCTATTATCTCTGAGGCAGCATTTAAGAGTGCTAAATTTGGTTGTTCTAGTTGCTGAGATATCTCACTGTAGCTTGTGGAGAGATTTCCTTATTTCACCTCCAGCCACGTCTATGAAAACAGTCAAATTTAATATTTAAAATACGTTGAGATGTAAATGTTTTATTTGTGTGGCAAGTTATTTTTAAATTCTTAAATAAAAGTTAAATCGTACAAATTATTAAATTCATAAAAATCTTATACGTCTGGATGAAATAGTGCACGTAAAAATATCTGTAGTATTTAAGAATTTGTAAACTTGTAAACATTTCTATAGCTTGAATGCACTGGAAGTGCCTTCATCCTTACTGTTATATAAGAACTAGCTGCTCCGCCACGGTGAATCTTTTTTAAATATACCAACTTGCGAAAACAACAAATCTAAACACAAAAGAGAACACAAACGCAAACACAAACACAATGCAAACGCAAACAGAAATGCAAACGCAATCGCAAAATAATACAAACGAAAACACAAATGAAAACACAAATGCAAACACAAACGCAAATAAAAATAAAGACACCAACGCAAACGCAAACCTAAACGCCCGAATAACATACACAAACTTAAATGCAAACATATACACATAACGCTCACAGTCTAGCTAGGGGGATCAATTCGCTGAACCGCCTGATTTCACTCAGTAATGACTATAACACCCCAACTTATCCATAGTCTTTAGAACTCACTTAAACGAAAGTATGCACCATAGCGCTCACGGGATAGCCCAGGACACCAAATCGAACCATGTCTTATTCACA